TTTTTCTGCTGATTTAATTAAAATTATCAATAAGGATGTTAACGATTGTATAGAAAAATAAGATACTTGTTGAGCATGAAATTTGGCTCGTTCAATTTCTTGTTTATCAACATTAGATTCCTGTGCATCGTCATTGTCGATGGTATCATCGGAAGGTGCATCATGAAACGATTCATCGGAAATAGACTGATCAACATTTTCATTTTCTGCCAGTTTTTGTTTCAAAAATATATTTAACGTTAGTTGTTCTTGTTTTTTCACGATAGCTATAATTTCTTCGATGGTTTCTCTACAACGACCAGAAATCGATGGAAAAACATCTGCCATAAGTATTTCGCTGATATCAGAATTGATTTTCATAATATCAGCTTTATGTGTTAGCAGCGATAAATCCTTTTGAATTTTTTGTATTAATTGAATGTGCGTGCTCGCAATTTGATCAAACCCAATTGAACTTGTTGTCATGCCATCAAGAGCTTTAATCCATGAAAATAAATGAATATTTTCATCACCGCCGCGAGATGCGATGTTATCATAATTAAATTCCGTATCATCTGTATTAGTCGCATCAGAAGTTTTTAAATTAATTGTCGATAATTGTTGACCCATGGTTGTATAGAGCTTGTAATAAATTCAATGCAAAGTTAGAAATTTCAATTGATTATCAATAGACTATTTCAATACTGTCGATAGAAATTCTAAAATACAAATATATAGACTCGCTAAACACTTTTACCCACCCTTTATCTCAAACTTCTTCATGAAGGAAACTTTTTTATTTACATCTATAGCATTTTTCATTTAAAACTATCCGCATCCATTTTCATACAGAATGAGACCCGGTGTGTGGTTCACCGGATGGGTCAAAATAACTTGGAAAAGGCAAAAGGCCACTACTTTCTCTGGGCTAGTAAAACCTCAATAACTTTTTTCCTGCAACTGTTACAAGCCTTCAGCTTTGACCGATAAAACCAGCGCAGCTCGCTTAATAAAATTCATCCTATTTCGACGCTAGCGCCAATACTTTTGTACATGTCACAGACATACTTAAACTTTAGGCACAATTAAACTTAGGCAGAATTCGTTTTGAATTAGGCGCAAAAGTACGAAATAGTTTTCTTTTATTACAAAGTACATTTTAATTATCATTTACATTTAGAAAACAAGGCACATATCTTATTTTTGTTACTAAAAAGATTATTATTTTCACCTAATCTTGGAGTTATGTAGCACCAATAACTTCTGCATCGACTTCGTAAAATGATTTTCGAAAACATTTTCATGAACAAGCAAAGCAGTTCTTTTAATTTTTGAAGTTTTCAATATCTCAAGAAACCAACTATTATGTTATCACAAAAAATATGTGAACTGGGAAATTCTTCATTGTTTGTTGTTGAAATATAATTAAAAGAAACCTAACAGCTTAATATATTTATACTTGCGTATAATATATAAGCCGCGTTAAATTGGAATATCAATAGAGAAGAGAGAAACTACTCTTCAGAAAACGTAAACTTAATGATTTCTTTTTTTGGTCAGGTATAGGCGTTGACAAACTGTATTTATGTTGAATATAATGGAGAACTCTACAACTTCCTAAATTTAGCTAAATTTCAATTAAAGTTGAACATAACTTAATATAAATATATTAGATCAATTATTTATTCTTATGTTTTTTTTTAATTTTCAAGCCTTTTAATAACACTTCTATTTTGCCTAAATCTTCATTCTGCTTGACACGTATCTTGGTATGTTTCTAGTGGATGCATCAATATGAGAGACTGTTGAAGCACGATAAAGTAGTAAATGGTGTTTTGTATGAGCGAAACCGCCAAAGTTTTGAAATCTGCGATCAAAAATTCTTGCTTACTTTGAGAGAGATGGTTTCCAACAAAGCTGAAGTGCATCATAAACATTTAAGACATTTTTTTTATTTCTTTTTATTTCTCTGAAAAGAAAGACGATAAGAAATATATACCTTTTACGTCGTACATGATGGCTGTGGTAGAATCAACATCGGCTTCTCATTGTCAACGGAGTTGGTTACTGGCTGACCATGATAAAGGAAGAAATACATTTTCTGGAATAGTCGAACTTTTATAATACTTTTAATATTTCGTCAATAGTTTCGCTATAGTAACAGAAAAGTTTTAAAAGTGTGTCATTAAATGCAGCATTTAATGGATTTCATTGTGGTAGAAACATTAAAAAATATAATTAATAACTATTAGGATTTGATAGTCAATTGTTAAACAATAAAGCGCACGTAATTTTCGATTTTCAAATAA